TCAATTTTTCAGTAAATGGCTGCGAAATTTTGTTGAAGAAGAAATTGGCGATGGTGTTAACGCTTTCTGGGGTGGTCTTTGTGATGAGGTTGGTGGTAGGGGGGACGAGTAGGGGTGGTGAAGCGTGAAAGAAGAGTCTACCTGCAATTCAACAAAGATTTTTAGTGATTAATTTCTTTTTTGAGAGAGAAAGATTTTTGACAATAACTCATTTTATTTAGAACACTGTAATGACGCTTCAACACAGGCGTCACCAGCACCAAAGATTGACCTCTCATCATTGACACAACACCGTCAGCAATACAAACAACGTTCTCTTCATATAAAATGAATTAGCAGCCAACAATAACAACATCAATAAGTACATCATCATCAACAACATCACAACAACAACAACAGTATCAGCAACAACATCAGCAACAAACCTCCTCCCCATCTTCCCGAACTTCTTTCATCTTCATCCCATGCAAGTCCCCCAACCCCGCCCCATCTACGGTGTACTCCTTTTTAGTCTTCCGCCCAAATTGATCGGTACACCACAAATAATTTTTTTCTATCCCACTACCAAACCACCCACCATCATCATCATCATTATCGTTATTGTTATCATTATCACCACCATGACCGTTGTCAGCCTCTGTACCTATCCGGTGATAAGTTGGACGAGATGGTTTTGAATGGTTTGCTATTTTATAATTGGTTGTAATGTTTACAGGACTAGTTTCGATTGAATAAAATATTGATTGCTGGCTTGTAATTGGATGAATGTTGAGGGATGGCTTGTGATTGGTTGAATTGTTAGCGGATGACTGATGATTGGATAGACGTTTGCTAATGTGACACCTTGAATTGATGTTAATGGAAAAATAGTTAGTTCATTTGATGTGGCAGGGTAAATGCTGTCTGAGTTCATTTGGGTATGGGTGATGATTGGATGAGCGGTTCCTAGGGTGATATCTGGCTGAGCGGTGATTGGATGAGTGTTTGACCTTCCAAGCACTCCCATTTTGACCTTTAACCTCTTCCTGCGACTGCTCGTCGTCGAGATGTTGCTCGTGCTCGGACAGGAACTCGTCTCTGAGTCACTTGACTGATGATAATGATGATGATGGTTACGATAATGATGATGATGGCAAAAAAGTGTTAATGACAACAATAATTTTAATAAAAAAAAGATGATTTTTATTGATGGTGTCGTTGCAAGCTAGGATGGTGAAGGAGCTGGAAATGAATGAAGATGAAAAGTTAGTAGCACGGATGATGGCAATTAGGTGATGGACAACCGCGTAATAACGAGTGAAATTTTTGTAGAAGTTGGTAGCACATCAATGAAATCTTTCCTAAAAACTTTTTAACAAACAAGTTAAGAGCGTTAACATGGAGGACAACGTGCGCAGGCAAGCGTTGATTTAGTGAAATTATTAAGAACAACACGAGCAACATCAGCCACGCCAACTGACGACAACTGACGTAAAATGAGCGAATGCATTTCATCTTCTTGAACCTCTTCTTGTAAATCTTGCTGCCGATGCTTAAAATTTGTTGAAAGTTTGTTGCCGATTGTTGCAGCTGCAGAAACAAACATAAATGATGGCGCTTCGTTGTTGGCGTGCAACTCTGCAACAGTCTGTAGACGTTGCTCCTTCTGTTCAGAGAGGTGATGACGGTGATGATGATGTAATGATGATGATGATGTGATGATGATGATGGTGATGATGATGATGTGGTGATGATGGGATGATGATGATGTGGTGATGATGTGGTGATGATGTGGTGATGATGTGGTGATGATGGGATGATGATGATGATAACGCATGTATTTCACACTATTGTTATTATTAAATAGAAATCGCCTTTCAGTGAAACAGCGCACTAAATATGTATATTAAGGGTTCGACGACTTCCATTCAAATGACCTCATTTCTGGGGGTCCTGGAACTTCGAATAACAATAACACTGTGGGCGACCGTGATGATGATGATGATGATGATGATGATGATGATGATGATGATGATGGTAGAGGTGATGATGATAGCAATGATGAAGGCAATGATGATGATGATGACGATGATGATGGAGGCCTAATAAAGACAGCGCACAGCTACTCACACGTTAATTGGTAAATATCTCTGTCCCGCCATCACGTGAGCAATGTAAGTTATGACGTCATCATCACCGTCATTTTTGTTGTCGCTGATGTGAGTGTTGAATTTGGAAGATGGTGATGAGGCCGGAAGTGGCGGACGATGTGATGTTGGAGCTTGTGCTGCTGTGTTGCAGTTGATGCTGTTGAGTTTACTGTTAATTATGCTGTTACATGCGTTGTTGCGATTGTTGATGTTTTTGTTGTTGTGATTGTTGATAATGTTGTTGTTGTTTGGATTGTTGTTAAATGTGATGTTGTGTATAATGTTGATATTGTTGTTGTTGTGGTTGCTGCCGTTGTTGTTGTTGTTGTTGTGATTGTTGATTTTCTTGTGATTATTGTTGTTGTTGTGATTGTTGTTTTTGTTGTTGTGATTGTTGTTGTTGTTGTGATTGTTGTTGTTGTTGTTGTTTCTCCTCAACGTAACGAAATGTAGTTGGTTGTAACTGACAACAGCTGACGGGGGGCGATGAACTGTAAGAAGAAACAAAATTATCACAAATGCAACCAGCAGTGCTTTCAAAATTCATCTAAAAAATTTGAAATCCACGTTGCAAAGTTCCCAACAGCAGCCATCTCAAAACATTAAAACAAACCTAAACACTCAACAACATCATTATCATTAACAAAAACATTAAAATCATCATCAACACCGTCAACAACAACATCATCATCATCAACACCATCAACAACATCATCATCAACAACAACATCATCATTAACAACAACACGACAACAAACCTTCTTCATACAACAAGACACCTGCTTGTTGTTGTTGTGGTTGTTGTTGTTGCTGCTGGTGGTGGTGTTGTTGGTACATGTGGACGGTGATGAGTGAGTGAGCAAATTCTTTTAAAAATGGAAAGAATGAAAAATTATCAAAATGAGGACATAATTTTAAAAGAGTTCACCTAAGTTCTCCGCGTCACCATCATTATCGTTAATAATTCAATCATCAGCGTCACCATCTCAATGACAAAATCATCATAATCATCATCACCAATTTTTTCATCAAAATCATCATCATCGTCGTCGTCGTCATCATCATCATCATCATCATCATCATCATTTTTTTCATCATCATTATTATCATAATCATCATCAACATTTTTTCCATCATCGTCATCATCATCAATATCATCATCATCGTCGTCATCATCATCATCATCCTGCTACCTTGTTTGTCACGCATAACAGAACGCAACACATCAAAAGCTTCATTGGCGTTCTTTACAAAACATCCACCTCTTTCACTTCCGGTGATTGTATCGTTGTTGTTGTTGTTGTTGATGTTGTCGTTATTGTGGTTGTTGTCGATGAGTAAGTTTTCTTTTCCCTTAAAATCATCTGTAAAATTTGTAAATCAAATTTCGGAAACTTTTCTAAAAGCAATAATTCACGAGCGAACTCAAAAAAATTTAAACAGAGCAACAACTAAACAACGAGACTAACAAAAACATCAACACAAACAAGAAGCCGAAAACAGCGATGAAGACCACGAAATGTCTCAGCAACTTGCCTATCAACAAATCATTCCTAAAGTCATCAGTGAATTCATGGGCTGAAATTTTGATGTTGTACATGATTTGTGTGTTGCTTGACTGCATGGCATCCAACAAAACAAACAACCAGATGATTGCGTAATGTATCAGTCCATATTCTTCAGGGTTATATTCATCAATGAAACCGTTGTTTACAGTTTTAGTTGAGTTGTTGGTGCTGTTGATGTTGTTGTTGTTGTTGTTGATGTTGTTGATGCTGTTAATGTTGTTGATGTTGTTGATGTTACAGTTTTGGCTGCTGTTGTAGATGTTGTTGTTATTATTTACGACGTTGGTTTTAAATTGTTCGCTAGTATTGTTGTTGTGGTTGTTGATGTTGTTGAGGTGGTGATGAGGCCAACCAAGCGTCATTGAGAAATCGTCTGTAAAACAAAAATTTGTAAATGTTCGTGTTTGTGGGTTATTAAACCATTTGTAGTCAGCAATGGCATAAAGCAAAGCACTCCGACTCCGAGTAGAAATTTCTGAGTCCTGGTTCCGACTCGCAGAATTTTTTTTTTAACTTTTGCATTATAACTTCACCTTATTATCACCTCATCATCTCTACGAATTTATTGACATATTTAACATTTGTTCTCAGTGTTTTAGACAATTGCATATTGCTATAAATATTTATTTTCCAAAAACACGAATGAAGAGAAATAATAATTTTTTTTTAAATCAAAAACGTTGTTCGGTGTCGGATGAAAAAACGGACTCCGACCGACTCCGAGCTCTTAAAAAATTCCGACTCAGGCAAGAATCTCCGACTCGACACTCCGGACATCACATCGACTTTTTCGTAATTTTTTCAGTTCTCTATGCTGATGTTTTTAATGATTTTGTTGTAAGCAGTCTGTTTGTCTTTAACTGATTTCCAACAGTTTTCTGTTGCAACCCACTTCCCACGGGCCTTTCTCTTTTTGTCTTTCTTCATTGACATGCATACAACAACTGGAGAACTTGCAATTTTTTCTATTTTCGATTTTTAACAAATAATCTTTTGTTTTTTCCAAAAATCACCGTTACTAGTTATAAATTGCTTAAGCAAGCGAACCAGCCGTAATTACTTAATTATGTTTTTTCAATTCAATTTAGAATTATTTGATGTTTACATTTTTGCCTCAAACAAAAAATCTTTTGTTGACTTGTTAATTTCATTTTTCACCGTATCTATTATTTTTTCATTAGTTATATTTTCAAAGAATCTTTTTCATTTTTGAATTGTTAAGAGGGTTTGTAAATGAACGTGCATTGTGTAGTCATCTATCTTTAATTTCATTTTTGTTTTCTCTTAGAGACGTTTCAATTCATGTCTTCCATAATGTTTGACATGTTTGTTATTAGGGTAATTTATTCACATTAATTTAATTTCCTAACATGACATGTACTTTCAATACGACTAACATGATGACAACATCAGCATAACTATAACATCAACGTAACCACAACGCGACAACAACAACATCACGTGACAACAACATCACGTGACAACAACAACAAGACACATAAATACCATCCCCATAGAGCACGTAACAGGAATCGAACCCTTGCAGTAGAGCTTTCAACACACTGGCCACACTCTCCATACATGTCTCAACCTGCATTTGTACAAAAGATGGCGTTGTTTGTTTTGAAAAATATTCAAGTGCAACAATTAACGTGACAAAAATAAACTATTTTTGTTACGATCATTTTTTTATATGAATATTTTCATGTAAATTGAAACGTTTTATAGTTTAAACTGAATTAAACTATAATAAATTGTTAATTTCAACTATTTCATTTCAATGCCCGCCTGAATAATATTGGTCGTCCCATTGATCTAATGAGGCGATTGAACTCCAGCCAAATGTTCACATGCATCGTGTTGGGGGATGTATCTCTCATTATGCTGGATTGCTTCACGCACACTCACCCTGCACAATTTAGTCACTTGAGAGGTGCAGCATTGAAGTTTTTAAGAAATTTAAATTTGCACCAAACTGCTGTGAAACTAACTCCAAATTGCTAGCAAGTAAAAGTCTTAATAACTTTCAAAATGTTAAAAATTGTTAAATAACACTCCCCCCCAAATCTATTTTAAATATTTGCCTTTGACATATTAGCGCTAACTCATTATATTAGAGTAAAAACTAACTTTTAAGAAAGTATACTTTTGATGAATATTTGTTACATAATTAAATAATAATAAAGTTATAACATAATTATATGTAAAGTCACATGATATAATAAACAAACTAGTAACATGACGATGAGGATGATATTAATGAAAATGACGATGATGTTGTTGATTTAGATGAAAATAATTTTATCTCTTGTTTTTTTCATTTTTTAAGGACACATTTTTAGGAAATAATGTGCGTTACAATCTGCCAATAAAACTTTAAAATAGTCTTGAAATCATTTGGTATCATTGTTGAATTTTTATTACATTATTCATTATCAAAGGCGTTTTGCCTCTTTGCTTGGGCCTCTTACCTCACCTAGGAGGTAAAAAGCCCATATTAGGAGGTTTGTTGAATTCGTCACTGCAGCTAACTAAAGTGCAGATCAAACATTTAGAAGGCAAAAAAACTAGCCAGATTGGAAGTCAAGGATCCGGATATTACTGCACAGCATTCTTGATGTGATGGATGTTGTCAAGATCAGATACCAAAGTACTAACCACTTTAGATAAGTTTTATAAAGCAGATTGTGATGCTATGATTATTCTCTCAATCAACATGATTGATGAAACGTATGATAAAGAAATGGAAACAGAAATAGTCCTTTTGTTTCTACTTCAAGGAGTTTAATTGATAACAAGAAAAAGGTCGTTGGTGTGAGAAACAGTGATTAAGGTTTCTTCAAACTGGTTGCAACAAAGGCTGACAGACCATGTAATTCTGTTCCTGAAGTGAACCTTGTCAATAATAAAAATACACGGCAAAGAATTGGACATCAAAACAAGAAACATGTTGAAATGGTCATGAAACGTGACGACGATAGCTACAGAAATTTTGATCGAAAAATAAAAAAGTTGTTCCAACCGTCGAGAGATGTTGTGTTTGGTGAGAAGCTCATCAAACCAAGTGTTGTTATTTTGCAAGAGCAAACTACCGTGCCACAATCAAAGATAGTAAGAAAGAAACTTTGACCAAAGAAAATCTTTCAGACGATGAGAATGTTCTCAGCAGTGGTTCTGTCATATGGTGATTAAGAAGATAAAGCAGTGATTAAGAAGATCAAGCAGTGATTAAGAAGATCAATCTGACAGTTGTTACCAAAAGACTGAAAGTATGATTTTGCGTGATCGGAGGATTACGTTTTGATTCTTTCGTTACGTGCCATTAAAAGTAAAGGAACAGATGAATGGCTGAAAACCATGAGCGGTAAAATTCAGTCATTAAAAGAAAATCAAACATTAGATTTGGAAGATTTCCCAAAAGGTCGTAAAATAATACCGTGCAAATGGGTTTAAAAATAAAGCACAATTCAAGTAGTCTCGTTGAGTTTTAAAGCCGCTGAAGCATCATTTTTTTCGGTTTAAAAATTAATCAAGATAAGAAGAAAAATATTAAAGTCAGTCAGTCAGCATATACAAAAATGATCCTTGAGAAAATTGGGATGAATCATTGCAGACCCTGTACAACTCCGATTATGAAATCTGAAAAGGTGTTTAATGAAAATGAAGGCGAACAAGAAGAAGTGAAGTTTTCTTGTAGATAGTATTGCCTTGACGTACATAATGACAAGAACAAGACCAGATGATGCATATGTAGTTAGAGTAGCTTCCAAAAATCCGGAAAATCCAAGCAAGTACAATGTAACACGGATGAAACAGATTTTTAGATATCTGCAAAGTACAGCTGATGTTGGTATTGTTTACATGGTTTTGTATTCATTTCGGTTTAATTCACTAGTATTATCAGTTAATTGTTAACATAAATGAATAAAAACATTAAATAAAAACAATGTGTGTTCGTAACCTTCGTGTCTCTATGGTCAAATATCTTATCGAAGCCATACGTTCTTGGCTGGTGGACAGTTTGATAGATGTTGTTTATGTTGAGGTTGTTTATGTTGATGTTGTTTATGTCGTTGGTTGTGTTGTTGCTCATGTTGGTGGCGCTGCTGTTAAACTCATGTAATGTTATAAACTTCTTCGCCTCGTCAATTGATACGAAACAGGAGTTTGAAATTGAGATGGATGATGTTGTTGGAGTTGTTGGTGTTTGTAGTGATGATAATGTTGGAGCAACATTGCAATTTGTTGACAGCGCATTATGCGTTGAAACAAACGATGATGATACCGTTGTTGATAATAAAGATGTTGAAAATGATGATGATACCGTTGTTGATGATGGCATTGGTGATGATAACGCTGATGAAGATGGCAAGAGTGTAAAAGACGATGAAGATGTTGATAATGATGATATTAAGGCTGATGATGATGATGACGCCGATGGCAATGTTGATGAAGTTGAAGATTTATCGTCCTCAATAATCTTCAGATAAACTCTCACCTGGGGATGAAAATAGATTGAAATAACGGATCGGTGTTGGCAGGTAGGCAGGTAGGCATAGGTAAGTAGCTACATTTAATGAATTTTAATTTCCATGTCAGAGGGTCATACCTGTGTGTATGTTTCTTTCTTTCTGTGTTATTTGTTTTCACGAAATCAAACATTTAGTGAATATATCTATGCGTTTGTATCTCATATGTCTTTATGTCTAGTTTTTATGTATGCGAGTTAGTATAGATTTGATAGTGTTTAACTTGCGATGTATTTAATTGTATTAATTTAATCAGAATTTCACGGTCAAAAATTGACGATGGTTTAATATTTAAAAGTTTTTGTCAATTGATTTTTTTAAATTAAATAAAAATCAAAAAAACCAATATTCAATTCAATTAAGATTATTGAAGACGAAATATTTGAATTATTCAAAATCTAAAATGTTGTTAATTGAATTGAATCTATTCCACTCTATATAAAGAAAAATTATTTTAATGAATGGAATAAAAATTGGAACGAACATGGTTTTTGTTGTTGATGACTGCTTGGTTGAACGTTTGCAAGAACTTGTTTGTCAGTTTGTTGATGGTCGAAGTTCGCTGTTGTGGTGGTAGTAGCTGTTGTTCAGGTGGTGGGGGTTGTTGTTGATGTTGCGAAATTTGATCGTGTTGATGATGATGTTGATGTGGTTGCTGGGGCTTCAAATCTTTGAAATCATCATTAAAATTTGAGTCACTACGTTGGCTACCAGCCTGGTGAGGAGGATGTTGTTGCGAAAGTGCTTGCTTTTGATGATGTTGTTGATGTTGTTGTTGGTGTTGTTGATGTTGTTGGTGTTGTTGGTATTGTTGATGTTGTTGTTGTTGGTGTTGTTGATGTTGTTGTTGATGCTGTTGTTGGTGTTGTTGGTGTTGTTGATGTTGCTGTTGATGTTGTTGATGTTGCTGACTTTTTTGAAACGTCTTCAATCCCAAACTTGTACATTCAACAAGATTGCCAAACTTTGAACTGTAAAAACACAACAAAACGCTATCAACGCTAATGAAGTTTTAACTAAGTTACAATTAAAAAATTGAAATTTTACAACAAAAACCAAATTGGGAAAACAAATACTGAAAAACAATTGCAAAATTATAGATAAAATTTAAAGAAATAAAAAATATATAATTGAAATATTGCATGAATACAATAAATAAAAGATGTTTTGAAAAAATGTTGAGGTTTCAAAGCCTGAAGCAGAGCACGCGTTGATCCCTAACGAAGCATTTGCACGAACTCTCTCGATGTTGCCGTTAACTTTCCCCGAAATCTCTCATTTATTTTAACGTCACTTGAATGCTGAACATCATCCCCATCTCATTCATACGCTCTTCAACAACGATTCAACAGAGTAACGAACACAAAGTGTCGAAATACCAAAAAACGCCTCAGGGACTGGCGAGAAAAAAGTATTTTAATGTTTTTGCAACGCAGATGTTGTTCACTATTTTAACAAAGGATCATGTTTTGCAAGCAGATATTTTTTCAAACACAATTTAAAACTTAAAAGTGAAGCAGATATTTTTTCAAACACAATTTAAAACTTAAAAGTGAGGCGCCAGATAATTAATAACTGTCATTCACAACTGTAAGCTTGCAGATCTGGATACAACAGAACTGCAAACAATTGGATACTTGTTAGATTCAACAGTACTTGCTCGATTGGATGCTGGTCCGATTAAATGTTGGCCCAATTGGATACTTGCTCGATTGGGTACATTTTGGATGGGATACTTGTTAGATTAAATATGCCTTATTTGGATACACTCTTGGTTGGGTTTTTGTTAGTTAACAGCCGTAACATATTGACCACAAAAATATTATTTAAAATTTCTGAAATTCAAATGAATCTGTAGAAACTATCCTTTTTAAATCATCAATCTTTTGCATCTTAGATCCTCTCTAGTGAACGCTTGCTTCGTCTCAGAATTTATCACAGGAAAAAGTAAATAAAACAAATAATAAAAACTGGTGCTAAGTAAGCAGAAAGTTGAATGAATAAAAATGATAGAAGATTGAATGATTGAAGGAAGATGAAGTGAATAAATTATTTGATGATTGACGATCGACTGAATGGGCTGCTGGATTCTTCTCGCTGCTCCCTCACACATTCTCACACACACGTACAAGAGATGTCTCATTAAAATATTCATGCATGTGTGTGTGTGTGTGTGTGTGTGTGTGTGTGTGTGTGTGTGTGTGTGTGTGTGTGTGTGGGTTGGTATGTATGTTCTGCATGTATGAATGGATGTATTTATATTAATGAACAAATTTCAGGTTTAAGTGTTGCGCTGGATTTAGTAAACTTTTGAAGAAATCAATGTAGGATTTGAAGGTTTGTGTTTATGAACGAATGGAATGTGCTTTGAAGGGTTCACTTTCTTATAAGTTTGTGTGAGTTTGCTGCAAGTTTATATCTGGATATTGCCTTTGAAATTTTCAGAATGTTCAGTTACGTGTGAATCCAGCTGTATGTGGATAGAAGGGCATGTGTGTTTGTGTGCATGTGTGTTTGTGTGCATGTGTGTATGTGTTGTTTGAGCATGTTGTTTGAGCATTTAAGCGTAAATCGTGACAGACAGAAAGACAGAAGGGCAAGTATCCGACCACAAACACTCAACCATTCACACAAGTACATGTCCACACATACACACACACACGCACACACACACATATATACACACAAACAAGCAAACAATAAAAAAAACAGCAACCGCATTGAAGTAGAGAGAGGAAGCAGAAAGATGCAGCCAGCGCAGCACCAACTCATTCGAGAGCTCTACGTGGTGCACCGCAGCTTCTGTCACAATTATCACATACTTTATCGTCACCTTACAACTCATCATCATCAACATCATCATCACCCTAATCATCATCACTATCATCGCCGTATTCATCACACCATCATCGTCTTAATCACCGTTTATTCTACTTATTGTTGTCGCGCTGACTGACGTGGAGCCCACTCACCCACCGACGAAACACGTGCTCTAACAACGGCTTGTTAGAGCAAGTCTTCAAAGAGATGAGTTCTCAAAATGACAAATTTGAGATGTTGTTTGCCTTCTAATTCATTCTGAACCAACCAACAATTACATGCAACGTGGGTGGTTAAGTCGGGAGTAAGGTATTTATAAGTGCATCTTACTTCGATAACTTGAGATGGTCGATGCTTCACATGAGCGAGAATGTGCATGTTAATGTGAATGTGCATGTGCGTGTGCGTGTGAATGTGCGTGTGCATGTGCGTGTGAATGTGCGTGTGCGTGTACGTGCCTTTCAGTTTTTTTTTCGAATGTTTTTAGCAATAAATGAATTGATTCAAAGAAGCCATTTAATGAATGAATCTCTTACATGCAATCACATCCCAACAATCGCCTACTGTACATCACATCATGTTACTTTAAAAATTGATGAACATCTAATTTGATGCAACTCGGCAAATGTTTTGGATGCGAGAGTAGGATGTCTGGGGATGGACTTGCATGATGACGTCAGCAGCCACACTTCCGCCCGCACGCATTTCCTCGTCTCGTTGCCTTGTTTAAATATAACAACTATATATGTATGTATGTATATATATTGTTGTTGTGCTGTTATTGTTGTTGTGTGTTGTTATGTTGTTGTATTGTAGTTATTCTTCAAATATTGTTGTGAGATATCAATATAAGATTTGTTTTATTTTGTCGTTACTGTCGTACT